GCACATTGAGAACCTCATGAAAATCCAAACATTAAGCCAGCTCAAATGCTTCCTGTTGGTCATTTCGGCTATCTTAGAAAGGGACTCAAATTACATAAATTCTATGAAGGCATACCTCTTTTTAATTGAATATCCTAAAACTTTAAAATCACATCAATAAAGTACATTCTATCATTTTAGCAATGGTAAACTACATAATCCTTTATTTTCTAGTGTCTTTTCTGCAATTATTAGTCTCATTTAACATGGACAGATTTGGATTTCTGTTAGTAACAACAATCACTCAAACAAGAAAAATTTCGAATTCAGTGTTATGCTTGTACACAGCCTAGACGACTGTAGAGGTGATGGCAACTTGTCTCAATGACCCTGCACTGGAGTAATGAAGGGGGTAATGTTTACCAAAATTGCTATTCTGACTGCTACCCAACAATCCCTTGGGCATCCGCACTGTGTTGAGAACAAGATCAGGCCGGTTGCATATCCCATTCCTTGTTAAAGCACATGCCGATGCATCCTACCAAAAGCATAGCATTTGAAGGGAAGAGATATAATCAGGATACCAATGGGCTGTTAAATTCCTAGACATTAAAAATATCAATGTATATGGAGATGCAATGGGGAAATGGTATTCAGGTTGATCAGACATGATCTAGTTGAATGGCAGACTAGGCTCGAGGGACTGCTTTGCTCCTGTTTCCTATGTTCCAATGAACTTAATTATTTATACACTTGCTGGTATGTCTTACATTGTTATGCAGTGGAACCAGAATAAAACAGGTTAGAATTTACACAATGGACTTTATAATACACAAAGGTATATTACACATCGAACCCAATGAAAGTTAATGCAAAAAAACTTTAAAGTGTCCTCTTTCTTTCAGAAGAAAGGTTATGGCCCAGCAGGTTTATTTGAAAACATAAGCTTTTGGAGCCTCAGTCTTTCTTCAGGGGTTAGTGAGAGGGGTGGTATCAGACAGAATTTACAAGTAAAAGATCAAAGCTCCAACCCAGTCCAACACCGGCACTTTCACATCATTTCAGAAGAAAATTAGATGACACATATTTTTTTGAATATGTAAGAATGAAACTAAGAAAAAATTGCATTTATATTAAAATGAAAAAACAAACTTGGCTTTATATAGCTTGGTGCACATTTGCAGGATCCCTTGAAGTACTTCACAGTCCATTAATCACTTCTGAACTGTAGTCAACGATGTAATGCAGAGAAAAACAGCAGCCAATTTATGTGCAAGGTCATCCCAACAGCAAAAAGATAAACAACTAGGTCACCTGTTGTTTCTCATGGTATTGGTTAAGGAATAAACACCGGCCAAATAACAGGAATACTCCCCACCTCCTCTTTGAACGGTCATGTGATATGTTATTTACATGAGGCAGAAGGGGCATCAGTTTAACATCTCAACCTAAAAGTCGACCACCACCACCAACTGATGTTTCCTCTGAATTGCTCAGATTGTATGCTCAAATCTCGTGCATGGGCTCAAATCCACAACTTCTGACCCAGAGGACAGCATAACCTCAAGCCAAGGCTAACAAACTTGATAACATCTCAAACACAGAAAAGATGCATGAGGAAATTAAGCAGAAGTAAAATTAAATCTGAGCCAATGGAGATAACCAAGAGAGAGGAAAGGAACAGAAAATGTTTCAAGGAAGGATTCAATGGAAGTGAGGGAAATGGTCAAGCAGAATTTCTTGACCACATTAGCCAGATGACTGAATGCATGGCAGCCAACAGTGGAGCACAGGTCAGAAGGCCAGGGGTCAGGATTCCACAAAAATTAATGAAGCAGTGTGTGCAGTATGCTTATAGGTCTACCCATGCAAATCAAGATTAATTTCAGTTTACACTTATGGAGTTTACCATAGAAAATTCTGAATAACACAATAGAACTTGTGCACACACAACATATGATGTTCTTTTATATCACAGCAGAATAATTTTGTTGACATACAGAAGCATAATCCCCACACTTGGATGTAATTCTGCAAAATTTACATGTAAATGAACAGAACCATGTTGTTTCAGAGATAGTAGGAACTGCAGATGCTGGAGAATCTGAGATAACAAGGTGTAGAGCTGGATGAACACAGCAGGCCAAGCAGCATCAGAGGAGCAGGAAGGCTTACGTTTCGGGCCTAGACCTTTCTTCAGAAATGGGGGAGGGGAAGGAGAAGGGGATTCTGAAATAAATAGGGAGAGAGGGGGAGGCGGATAGAAGATGGATAGAGGAGAAGATAGGTGGAGAGGAGACAGACAGGTCAAAGAGGCGGGGATGGAGCCAGTAAAGGTGAGTGTAGGTGGGGAGGTAGGGAGGAGATAGGTCAGTCCAGGGAGGACGGACAGGTCAAGGGGGCGGGATGAG